AAACAATTTTAAGCTTTTTTTTTTTTTTTTTTTTTGAATAGTAAAGATTATTTTATTAATGGAGTACAAGGGGTACTCCTATCCCTTTACATCAAAATCTCACGAAAAGAGTTTCTCAACTTAATAACTAGCAATCAACAACCTTTATCAATTGTACAACAAAAAACAACTCAAATCAAGGCTAATCTTCCCAATTCAACATCCCTGTACTCTACTTAAACCACTTAGTGCATTTGTGCATTCTCTTGGTCTCATGATCCAGTCTATTAAAGAAAAGTTCACCTGCCTTGCTCTCTTTGTTATCCAATGATAGGATCGTGTTTGAACTAGAGTGAATAATTTTTCTTCATTAATTACATTGTCTCTGCAAAGGTATTCATTTTTACATAACCATATGGTCCAAACAACGACAAACCATACGATTTCTCGTCCTCCACTTTGCTTCTTTCTTTTGAGCGGCCCAACATGTTGCTAGAAAGCCCTTTCAAAATTGTAGTGCATAACATAGTTCAAACCCCACCATCTTAAGCATTTTATCCATAATTTCCAAGCATGAATGCAATTCAGTAATAAATGATCCATACTCTCAATACATAACCCACACATATTGCATATTGCTTGAGATTTCTCTTTCAATATTCCTTTAGCAATCAGATTGTCTTTAGTTGGAATTCTTTTATGTAAAGATTGTCACATAAAAACACTCACATTCTTCAGGACTAAAGGGTTCCAGCATTTTTTCATAGCTTTTGTGCCATCTTGATCTAAAGCTTCTTTAAATGTTTTGCTTAATGGATTTGGAGAGAGAACTTTATTAATGAATGCCTAGTTTTGATAAAAATTTAATAGTTGAAAACAAATATTAGAATTTAAAATTTCATATGTTCAAGAATATATTATGAAGAATAAGGATGGTGGAGACACAAGATATTACTTTCATGGTAATATTAGAAGAATCATAGTTTTAATTTAGAAGGGTAGAAATATTTGGCAATTGTTTAATTTTTTAATATTTTCATTATTATTTACATAATTCTTTGTCATAGAGGAATTGCCACAAATTATTAAATGATAGGGAAAAAGAAGGCATCAAATTATGCGGTACCTATTGGGTTGCACAAAATGTAGAAGACTATGGGCAACTAAATAAGACGAGAGAGAGAGAAGAAGAAATGGGGGAGAAGGTAACAATACGGAAGTTGAGAATTGCTAAAATGATATTATTCTATGACAAGATTTGGTGCTCAAGCTTGACTTTCAAGGACTCTATACCACCATCACCATTTGTTTTCTCCAACAGGTTCTTACGTTCCATTGTTTTTGGAAGGAGAAGACATAAAGCTACTTATGATCAAAGTTAATGGCCAGGATCTAAAGGTATGTGATTGCCACAAATTTCTCAAAGTAGCTTAGTAAATATGGAGCCACAATTACCCTATATACCAC